GCTTCTGCGGAGATAACCACGAGCCCCTGGTTGCACGCTCCAATGCCTGTCTCGGTAACTAACCTGCCCTGTCCCACCACGCACGTGTCCCACCCACCACGACCTCCTTCCCTTCCTCCCCCTGCTGATCGCTATCAACAACACTTCATGTGCTATCGACGCGTCGATTTTCCCCAACGTCCACGCTGCTGACCCTATTACTCCTTGATAATGAAACTCATTCATTCGGTGATGCCGCGTTGGCCAATATAAACGATGTCTTCGAAAAATGAATGTATTATTAGGCGACATTTTTGGGCAATGAAGCAGGGGCCATCGCCCGAAACGTCGCCTGTTGTATTGTGTTTCTTTTAAGGTCACAGAGTGATTGACAAATATTAATTTATTTTCTAATTATTCTTCATAATGTCTGATAATCATCTCCAAGTGGATGTATTCAACGGCTAGTAGCTACGTTTTCTGGGTTCAGTTTCTTCTATAGGGTTTGATATACCTTTATTAATATATTCATCCGAAATCCAAATTATATTGTGTTGTATTATTATCATTGCGTAGATACCGTTAAATAACCTCTTGCCATAATTGGCAACGCAGACAATGACGACCGAAAAAACTACTTTAGTGATTTCTGAAACGTAACCCCCCTCCTCACCCTACATAACAAATTAAACAGTCCACCTCGACGTGTACGAGACATCCACCCCCCAGCTGTCAGATCGTACCATTACACTCATAGGTTTGCTTCACGTTTCAAGGTTAACTACCGCTTTCTTTAGTACTACTACTCACGGACGTATGGATAAAACTATACACGCGGAAAGAACCCCCCCCCAACTCCCCCGTATAATACAATAAAACGACCCAAGTTTGCATTATAATTGTGCAATTAAAAGCGAGCGTTATGATACACGTTATAGTTACATCATCATGGTTCCCTTGCAGCTCAAACTGGTTAGGAATACGCCACACGCACACACAAAAAGACGCAAACGGCTCTTCGCTTTCGCGACTCCGCGAAGCCAACGTCCTCAGTAAACACGGAACGTTGGCCCAACGTTGATCCAACCAAGTGGCCCAACGTTGCAAACTTACTGGGTCGCGGCTTTTAAGGATGCCACGTCGAAGCCCCGTTTATGAATGCGTTCGCGCATGAATATTGTACCCCGCATGCCGAAATTAAACCGATTTTCCCCGGAGGTGATGCTGCTGCTGTTGCTGCAGCAGCGTTGGCATCGGCACACAGGCGAGGTTATGGGCTCGATCCACGACCCTGACGCCTGTATTTGGAGTTTGCATGTTCTCCCCGTGGTCACGTGGATATTTCTTCGGGTTCTCCGGTTTTTCCTTCCACATTTAGAAACGTTCATTCGGAGTATTTGGCTCCTATAAATTTCCACGTTATAAGCCACTTCGCTGGGCGACCATTTGTGACCAGGTTGCTTCTGAAAAATGCCAAGAGCTCAGTGAGCCTTGCCTAGTATAATAAAAATATATATCGTTTAAGTTAACGCCAGCAGCACTCGCGTTTCAACACTTTGTGGCTTTACAGTGTTATAGAATAGGCGACGTTTCAGACAATTGGCCTTCTTCATAGCACGTACTATGAAGAAGGCATACCACATTTACAAACGTCGCACTCAAGATTGTAAATGTTGTGGCTTGGGCTCTTCAACACACCGGTGTGCTGTACTAGTGACGAGTTGGCCACGTTCTGTTTACGTGACAACCCTTACTAGTTGGCTGTGTCGGGTGGTGGTGGGTTTTAACGACACATTTATATATTTACGCGATGTAACCCCCAAAAATCCCCTCTATTATAGTGTTGTTATAGTCAGTTGTGCACCAGTGCCATCGCTGTAACAGCAGCATCACCGGCACGAAGTGGCGGTGTGTTTGTTTTTAAATCGCCGATTTGGATTCCGCGGTGTGTCATCAGTTCGCGCGTAACCCCGCAGCCAGCCGCTAGAGGCGCTACCATTCCCACTTTTTTCAAATTTTCTTGCTGTGGTTTTCACACCTGATGATGATTGCTTGTGTTGCAGTCGAAACGTCGTGATAATTTAATTGTTTTATATTTTATTATTTTATTGTTTCCCTTCTACGTGACTTTACCGAAAGAACCAAGAATAACAAATAATCTATTATATTAATCGTTCCGACCCGGGTTCTTAATTTCTCATGGGAACATTTTCCTGCACCTGCCCCAACCCCCCAGCCCCTCGTGGGGGATGGGGGGGAGGGACATCATTTTCTGGAACTGAGCCCCGGACGGCTCCGTCTGAATTTAATCCGTGATTCCCACCGCTCGCGTCTCCAAGAGCCGTTTGTGCTTTTTGGTAGCTAGAACGCCACACCACAGAGAAATATAAAAAAAAAAAAACGTTAAAACATTTACCCCGCGTGATTATTATATTAGTCTTTTAAAGTCACATTGAAATATGAAAAATAAACAACTGCAGTCCACCTCACCCCCACCAAGTTCACCCCGTGATGTTAATAGTCTACCCGTGATGATTACGATCGATGAATAGTCGATTACGATTAATCGATTGTAATAGACGGTTACGCCCACCACAACGGGCGTATCGTAGTGCGCGTGAGATCGATGATTCCCCACGAATGAAAATGAGTAACATGTGACTGTTCAGTGTTACATTTACAGTGATGGAACAAACGAGACAGACAATACAAACGAGACAATACAAACGAGACAGACAATACAAACGAGACAATACAAACGAGACAATACAAACGAGACAATTCAAACGAGCCAGACAATACAAAGAGGCAGACAATACAAACGAGACAATACAAACGAGACAATAAAAACGAGCCAGACAATACAAACGAGACAATACAAACGAGACAGACAATACAAACGAGGCAGACAATACAAACAAGACAATACAAACGAGACAGACAATACAAACGAGACAATACAAACGAGCCAGACAATACAAACGAGGCAGACAATACAAACGAGACAGACAATACAAATGCGCCAGCCAATACAAACGAGCCAGACAATACAAACGAGACAGACAATACAAACGAGGCAGACAATACAAACGAGACAGACAATACAAACGAGACAGACAATACAAACGAGACAATACAAACGAGACAATACAAACGAGCCAGACAATACAAACGAGGCAGACAATACAAACGACACAATACAAACGAGACAATAAAAACGAGCCAGACAATACAAACGAGACAATACAAACGAGACAGACAATACAAACGAGGCAGACAATACAAACGAGACAATACAAACGAGACAGACAATACAAACGAGACAATACAAACGAGCCAGACAATACAAACGAGGTAGACAATACAAACGAGACAGACAATACAAATGCGCCAGCCAATACAAACGAGCCAGACAATACAAACGAGACAGACAATACAAACGAGGCAGACAATACAAACGAGACAGACAATACAAACGAGGCAGACAATACAAACGAGACAGAACAATACAAACGACACAGAACAATATAAACGAGACAGAACAATACAAACGAGACAGACAATACACACGAGACAAACAATACAAACGAGACAGACGAAACAAGATACTACGGATGAGACGAATAATCGAATCAAAACCAAATCGTTCCATGCCTAATGTCGACAAATGATCACAGTTTGAATTTTAGTTCCCGGCACACCACATCCAGTACTGTGTACATATTGCTGTGGCTGTGACTAGTAGTAGCCGGAGAAATGGGGCGCCACGATGGGGAGATGTTAACTACTTCACCTGGTATACAGGAGGTCGTGGGTTCGACCTCGACCCTGACGCCTGTAAATTTGGAGTTTGCGTGTCTCTCTCCCCGTGGTCGCGTGGATTTTTCTCCGAGTCCTCCGGTTTTTCCCCTCCGTATTTAGAATCAACGTGCCTTCAGAGTATTTGGCTGCTATAAATGTCCACGTGACGAGCCACTTCGTTGGGCTATCATTTGTGGCCAGGTCGCTTCGGAAAAAGAGCCGTACAGCTCAGTGGGGCTTTACCCAGTAAAGTAAAAACTTTTAGTTTTTGAAAACATGCGGTGAGAAATGAAGCCGCGTGTGTATGCGTTTAAGTACATAAGCGTGTGTATGTATACGCATGTACGCGCGCGCACGGAAACTATGCGCACGTGTTCGTGTAGTCCATGAGTGCGTCATATGCGTGGAGTGGTGGCGCAGTGGTTAGGGCACTGCGCTACGAATCCGGCGGCCCGAGTTCGGCTCCAATAACAGTGAAGAATATTTTAACCCGGTCCTGGGCCTTCACTTAGGTCGCCTTAAATGAGTACCTGGCGCGGTGTGTAAACATCACAAAGGCTGCCGTGCGTGGTTATAGCCACACTATTGCCTTGTGTGCCGTGCTGGCCTTCACAGGTGGCAGCCCACAGCGCTTGCCCCAATAGTCTGTTCAGGCTACACAGGGGATCTTTGTCTCTGTTTATTCGTCGCGTGTGTCTGTGGGGGAGCAGTCGATCAGTGGTCAGCGCACAGCGTGACGAACCCGGTGATTCCCGCTCACGGCCGACATCAGTGGTGAATATCTGAACCCAATCCTGGGCCTTCCCTTAGCTCGGCACAGCCTTGAATTAGTACCTGGTGCAATATGTAAAAAAAAAAATCAGCACTGGGGCAGACAAAGGCGGCTGGTCGTGGCGCTTGCCATGCCAGTCCCTCGTGTGCAGTACCAGCTACCAGCCCTATCCCCAACAGCCTCTCTCCGGCTATAGAGGGGTTGTGTGTTTGGGTACGCAGCACTACGTATGCAGGTATGTATGTGTTTGTACGCACGTAGTGTAGAGGTCAGCGCGCTGCGCTACAAACCCAGTGGCCCGAGTTCGATTCCCGCTCACAGCCAACACCTGTGACGATTATCTGAACCGGTCCTGGGCCTCGGCCCGAGGTCGACTCAGCCACAAATGAGGACCTGCTGTGGTGTGTAAACATCGCCACTAGGGAGAGAAAAGGGCGACCGGGAGTGGTGCTGGCCACCCACCCCCGTCGTGTGCCACAGTGCCGGCCTTCATAGGTGCTCGCTAACAGCACTTGCCCCAACAAGTCTGTTCAGGCTATACGGGGGCTCTTTGTCCTTGTGTCTTTGCACGTACTGTGTGCCCGCGTGCACACTCGCGACACACACCGCTACACGCTGCAGTCTGGCGCTAGCGACACCGACGAGGGCGACTCTGCCGACACGCAGCTCGGCGCGACGGAACATCCACCGTCACCGCCGCCGTCGCCGCCGCCGTCACCGCCGCCGCCGTCGCGGCCGTGAGCGGCGTCCCTCGCCGGTTTGTGGAGGCCCCCGACCGCGGCGTACCGCTCGGCGAGCCCCTCCAGGGCCGATATGATCTGGTCGAGCCCCCACAGGTAGCCGTCCTCGCGGTTGCCCTCGCTCCACGCGTCGCGGTGGCTCAGGGTCTGGCCCGCGGGCAGCGGCGTCGTCTTGCCGAAGTCGATCATCCACACGCCGGCGCGCCCGCACCCGTCGTGCACGAAGAGCAGCGAGCTGCCGATCACCTGGGACGCGCGCACGCGTAGAACACAATGGAGCCTTGACAGACGGCCGGGGTCAAGTGCTGTTCGCGAGCAGCGCCTATGGGGGCCGGCGATGTGGCACGCGAAGGGGTGGGTGGCCAGCACCACGCCCGGCCGCCTTCGTCTCCCCAGCGGCGGCGATGCTTTTACACACCGCGCCGGGTGCTCATTTGAGTCCGCATAGTGGAGGCGCAGGACCGGTTCAGACAATCGTCACCGGTGATGTTGGCCGTGAGCGTCAATCGAACTCGGGTCGCCGGGTTCGTAGCGCAGCCCGCTGACCGCTACACTACCGCTCCCCACGCACGTACACACACAACAGCTTTATTCATGGCCTTGTCTCACCAGTGTCAGACTAGAGAACAGCGTGCATTTGTTATCAGAGCATGCTTGTTTCCATGTTTTCTACAAGTGCATGCGGTTAATGTAGACTGGATGCCTTGCAAAAGGTATCTATTTGGTGGTTTGAACATCTTAAAACCTCGTGTTTTATTGGCGGAAAGGGTAAAACCTATGCTCTTATTGTTTCATAATTTCGAGACTGGCAAAAGAGGTGTCGTAGATAAATTAAAAAAACATACTCTTCCTTGGCTCCACAATTCGCTCACTCGCTCACCTCGTGCGTTTGGAAGAAAGGGGAGGCTTCCAGCGTGGCCTTCATTGCCTTCAGCCGGGCGAGGTATCGGATCTGAAGACACGAGCAGACAAAGATCCCCCCTTTCACCTTCAACAGACCGTGTGAACACACGCACGACCCAAGACAAAGATCCCCACTATAGCCTTAACAGACTGTAGGGGCAAGTGTTGTTAGCGAGCACCCTATGAAGGCCGGGACGGTACACGAGGGGGTGGGTGGCCAGCACCACGCCCGGCCACCTTTGTCTCCCCAGTGGCGATGTTTACACACCGCACAAGGTACTCGATTAAGGCTGAATCGACCAGGGGGAGGCACAGGACCGGTTCCGATATTCGTCACCGGCTGTTAGCGACCGTGAGAGGGAATCGAACTCAGGCTGCCGGGTTCGTAGTGCAAGCGCACTAACCGTTAGGCTATCTCTCTGAAGATCCACACAGTGTCCGGACACATACACTCAGTGACACTGCAGCACCAAGTCCGTTCAATAGGAATTCTAACTGTGTACGGTACTTGTACAGCTCTTTTTTTGTAAATCCACTGCATGGATGAGGTTCTCTCCGAGCCTGCGCTGGTCGTGGGTCTGTTATTTTACCCCTCTATTGAATGCGGTCAGCATTACCCTATAGACGATGGGAAAATGCAACAATTGATTGTGCAGCTTAGCACCGCAGCAGCCTATAACAACGCCTGTTACAAGCTTGCCACCCGTTAATCCATGCCGGCTGCTCATCCGTGCACTTGGCCAGGCTCAGACCCGCTCAGCTCTCGAGATGCAACAGAATCGGGGCACGTTTCTAGCGATTTGACCACGGGCCCTATGGGTTTAACCCGGCGGGGAAGTAGCAATTAGATTCTCAACCTCCTCCTGCTCCCCCACCTGCGATTAGATTTCAGTAATTGGTCAAAATTCACTTCGACAATATATATTTAAAAAAATGTACGCGAACTGAGGCCCGTATCTTAAAGATAATCAGAATATGTATTTACACTGGAGGAATCCGATGAGCTATAAAGCTCTGTTTTTCACAGATGTCCAGTCGGGGTGGGTAAGAACGTGATAACAACAAACAGTACAAACACACGGTAGGAGTGCAAAGTACAGGAAAGGTAAACAGATCACCCCAAAAAACAAAAAAAACATCCTGATCCTTCCAGGCAAAGCCCACTGAGGTGTCGACTTCTTTTTCAGAAGCGACCTGTCCACAAATGATAGCCGAACAAAGTGGCCCATCGTTTGGACATAGCAGCTAAATAATCTAAGTAAATCTAAATGCATGTTTCTAAAAGAAAAGAGTGAGAGAGTCCCTGCCTATAAACCAATCTGGCAGTTCATCAGAGCATTGAATCGAGCGTCACTGAATGTCACAACCGGCTGTTGCTTCAGCAGTCCTGAGTCGATGCAGCTGAAGTGATGCACTCCCCTAGACAGTGCCGGATCAAGCTAGTGCGGGGCCTGTAGCATATGTTGTTATAAAGGGACCCTTGTTTTTTTTAAACACACTAAATATTAAAAGCACAGTTTTTACTTGCATAGTAAAGTAAATGTATTTTTTCATTTGCTATACAGCCAGATAATACGACATAACCTCAAACAATAAAGTATGAAAGCTTTCGTGACTGCATAAAATTACTCATTGGTTTTTTTCGGTAAAGTCACGTATGTAGAAATACAATAAAATTATATTAAAACAAAAAAAAACAAAAAAACAATCACGACGTTTCGATCACAACGCAAGCGATCTTCATCAGGTGTCAAGAACAAATGACGGAGGTAAATACAACAAAAAGATGAGAGACGAGAATTCAACAAACCTGAAAAAACATTATGTGAAGCACATCCAGTCAGGCCAACAACCTCAAACACCCAGTCGTTCATAAAAGTCGAAGGCGGTATAGTACTGTAGTAATAGAGCAAGTGCAGAATCACTGAACCGGAATTGATAGCTTGAAAGCGTTTAGCGCGGGGCCCTAGAAAGTGCGGAGCCCGTAGCACGTGTAGCGACTTGTGCGACTCGGATAATCCGGCCCTGCCCCTAGAAGGCGGTGCGTGCGACTGATGCGCTCGCTGACACACACTGACGGACACTCGCAGTCTGCTCATCGAGAACATCGAATAATCGTGGCTGTGGCCACGTGGTGTCCAGCAGGGGGCAGTGCAGCAACGTTCATCGCTGAATGCTACAAGGTGGTCCAGATGTCTTGTGACCCCCCCCCCAACATTTAATTCATAAACTTAGTATTTCCAAAAAGTAAAGTTTATTTGAAACAGAAATGAATATGTAAGGGGGGGGGGGGGGTACTGTTAGGGGTCAATTCATTGGGTGGTCACAAGACATCTGGACCACCCCGTACAGCACTATGACCCAGCGTCCACGCTCACGCCCGCCTTCAGCAGCACGCACTGACCAAGCGCGGTGAAGTGTGGTCAGATAAATAATAAATAATCACGGACGACCGGCAGGCCACGTCAGCACACGCCCGAGCTCTGCGGTCCTCTACATGTCAAGGTATTCTTGGCCGATCAATACAAAAGTGTTCACGCCCGACGCGTGTGAGGGGGCAACACTCTATCCCATGCAGATGGCACAGGTGGAGTTATCACCACCACCTCGTGTGGCGAGCCACGGCATGGAACCTCATCGACGCCCAAATCATCGTTGTATAGGCAGAGGCGCAGACCCTGCAATTGCACGATCACCCCACTGCTGGCAGAGGGACACTCCGCTAGAGGTAGTACGCTGGTCAGACGTTTTGACACAGGTGGGAGTACCCACATTTTACCCCACCTGCCGATCGACGTACCCTGGTTTCGGCCGCGCCGGGAGATGGAACCATCGATGCGCGTAATCGTTGCACGCACAGCCACCACATGGGCCGACCACACCTCCGATTTAGCGCGTTTGTCTATGTACGGTGCGAAAGAAGTTCAACATGCAGACAGGCAGCTCACCTGAATGTTGACATTCTTTCCTATGAAGTCATCAAGGACATCCATCACCTGCTCCCGGGTTCTCGTTTTCTTGAAGTCCTGCTTGAGGAATCCGTCGCTTTTCTGATGAACAACAACGCGTGAACACACACATGAGCACACGCTTGAACGCGTGAATTCGAACACACATGAACACTCGCATGAACACAACAAACGAACACGCGCACGGACACACAGTAACACTTGACTATGCACATCAACACACAAACGTGAACACAACACGTGAACACAAAATCATGAACCTCGCGTGAACACAACACATGAACACGCGCATGAACACACAAGGACGCGCACAGTACTAGCATGCACGCACGCAAACGTATGCACGCACCTGCACGCGTACACACACACAAAGACAAAGATCCCCGTATAGACGTAACAGGCTCTTGCGGCGAGTGTTGTTAGCGAGCACCAATGAAGGCCGGCACGGGGGTGGGGGGGATGACCGACCGCCTTTGTCTCCCCAGTGGCGATGTTTACACACCGCACCAGGTTTCCACATTTAATGCCCAGTCGACAGACGTGCAATGCACACGCACGCGCGCGCGCGCGCGCCAAGACCTAACGAACACAAACATTACAATCCGCACACTCTAAAGTGGAACAACTTCGCTTTTCGCTGCTAAAGAATGTAACGCCTTAAAAAAAACACCCTATTCAATTGCAAGCACTTAAAACGTCTTAAAATACACACACACACGCGCACTTTTACATTTTTTCCCCAAATGATAAACACACGTAAGGAAAGTAAACCACACTACGACTGTCATCATCATAATCCACAACACACACACACAAAAAACAAACAACGCCACTAACCGGGCCCGTTTGGTCATTTAAATTTGAAACGTATTTCCTTATTTATTTTCAAAAAGGGGAAATTACTGACGTCATGGCATAAAAGGCACAACCATCGCTGTTGCGCTTTGCTTGAACCACCACCAAAGACAAAGTTCCCCCGCCTCGTACAGCCTCAGCACACTGTAGGGACAAGTGCTGTGAGCGAGCAGCACCTATGAATTCCGCTGTGGCGCACGAGGGGGTGGGTGGCCAGCACCGCACCCGGCCGCCTTTGTCTCCCCAGTGGCGATGTTTACACAACGCCACCAGGTGCTGTCCTCGTTTGAGGCTGAGTCGACCTAGGGGAGGCCCATAACCGGTTCAAGATAATCATCACGGGGTTCTTTGAGGCCGTAAACGAGAATCGAACTCGTTGCGCGTAGCCGGGTTCGCAGCGCGCTAACCACTGCGCTACCGCTCCTCCTCCCACCACCACCCACACAAGATCGCCTGGCCGGGCACCCTCCCCCTCTTCCGTCTAGCACCCCCCTCCTTCACCACCCCCACCGCCCCCCCCGTGGTATTTTCCACTGTGTGACCACAAACGTGGAACCCCGTGGCCTCGTATCTCTCCCACCTCCCTCCCCCGCTACACACCCAACTCCCACCCCTCCACCCTCCAGGCCCACCCCCGTGCACCCGAAGCCAACACACAGCATCGGGCCAGAGATTAAGTTTACAGGGCAAGCGTGGTGGCTGCAATAACTCAGATCCTTCTGGTCACGGTCGATTAGGAACGTGCTACTACTACACACACACACCCCCACCGGGCTTTGTGAACCTCAGCTGGCCTCGACCAGAGTTAATTTATTTTAGTTGTTCAGCATATATTTGGGAGGTTTTTTTTGCCGTTATGATGGGATTGTGATCAGGTTTTCTGGTGTCGACGTGGCCGTATTAAGTTTCGCGAGTGTTATGTTTGGACAGCGCCACACGTACGTTGGAGTCATGTCCGTATTATTGATTATTATTATCTCAAGACGCCGCGTGTAAACGCTTGTTGGGTGATGTTGACGACCAGTCACTGCCTAAGGCCCACTGAGCTATATAGCTATTTTCAGAAGCGACCTGGCCACGCATTATAGCTCAATGAAGAGGCTTATCATGGGGAAATATATAGCAGCGAAACACTCTTAACGAACGTTTCTAAATGTGAAGGGAAAAACCGGAGGACCCGGAGAAAAATCCACACGACCACAGGGAGAACATGCAAACTCAAAATATACAGGCGTCAGGGTTGGGGTCGAACCCACGACCTCCTGCATACCAGGCGAGATATTTACAGGAACATCTCGCCACATGGCGCCCCCGCGGGCACAAAATATAAAGATCACCCGTGTATCCTTAACAAACTGTTGGGGCAAGTGCTGTTAGTGAGCACCTATCAAGGCCAGCACGGCACACGAGGGAGTGGGTGGCCAGCACCACGCCTGGCTGCCGTTGTCTCCCGAGTGGCGATGTTTACACACCACACCAGGTACTCATTACAGTCGACACACACTCACTTTCCACTCAATTTATCAAAATATTCCAACTCCGAGAATGATCATGTGTCTGCTTTACTGCGAGTGCGACGAACATATCTCATTCCAGGGTCCTCCTCTAACTGCGAGGGCACCGCTCGCTTCATGATGCATATGCCAGGGCGCTGAGCGTCCCAAACGGACAACTCGCCGTCTCGTTCCGTGACGTGGATTGGAATAAAATTGGGCCAATAAAGAGACGAATAAAAACACAGGCACACACACACGCATGTGTGTGGCTCTATGAAGTGGAAGAACCGACAGAGTTCCCTCCACATCCCACTCGTGTGAGAGGGATGTGGTGACCCCTGCGTGACCCCTGCTTGCAGGGTTCATGCGGAGGTCACGGGGAGGGGAGGAGGGGGGTGGCCCCGAGGGAGATGCTTTCAGCACTTTGAGCATTGAAAGTGCCGAGCGACCTAGAATTGAGAGCAAGCTCTGGGTCTGCACCGGCGTTGAGAAGAGAGGTAGAGGCCTCGGTCAGCTAGCAGCGGTGCAGGTCCAGTGGCCCTGCACCGGGGCACCACAGGCCAGAGGGGCCCACAGGCCAGAGGGGCCCACGGGCTGGGCTACGAAGGGCGGTCCCCACTGGGACAGGGAAGGGCGAGGGGGGGCACATTTAATTCCTTCCACCAGGGCTGATGCCAACCACGCCATTCAACTGCTAAGCAACCCCTAAACCAGGCTCAAACTCCGCTTAGCTTGCGCAATGCAACAACAACAACAACAACCGGGAGATTCCCGCAGACAGATTGAAGGTGTAGAGAGCCAGCATGTGACCTTGATTAACCCCCCCCCCAACCTCGCCCCCCCCCCATATCTGGGTGGTGATTGCTACGTTGCTGCACATGACTGCTGCCTGTGATCCAGCAGCAGCGAGCGTTGGTGGATCACCACCGCACAGATGTTGTGGTGAAACTCCCTTCCCCCATGGGTGGGCGTCGAGGAGCCTGTTTCGTCAGAAGAAGGCAGCACAGCTAAAAACGTTGACTTCACCTGTTCAAGCCGTATGGGATAGAGTGTTTCCCCCTCGAAAAGCGTGCGTTTTCTCTGGGTGCTCCGGCTTTCCCCGACATGAAAAGCTGCATTAATTGGCTAACACCTTCACATATATATAGGACTGCAGAGCTTGGGAAATTGTTGGCGCCAGGTGCTCTTTGTCCACGAGAGCGAAGAGTGAATACTGTGTGCGGCAGTGATGGTGGCCCAGCGTTACGAGTTGACATCATTATCGCCATCATCACTACCAAACAAAAGACAAAGATCCCCCCTATAGCTTGAGCAGAATGTTAGGGCAAGTATTGTTAGTGAGTAGCACCTATGAATGCCGGAGGGGGTGGGTGGCCAGCGCCACGCCCGGCCGCCTTTGTCTCCCTTAGTGGCGATGTTTACACACCGCACTGGGTATTCATTTGTGGCTGAGTCGACCTAGATGTGGCCGAGGACCGGTTCAGATAATCATCACCGGTGTTGGTGGCCGTGAGCGGGAATCGAACTCGGGTCACCGGGTCCGTAGCGCAGCGCGCTAACCGCTGAACCACTGCTACACCACCCTTTGATAATAATTACATCATTATTATCAACGGCAACTTCTCCAATCATCATCACCACCACCAGCACATCACCATCATCATCACCTGATCATCACGCACCTTGATGCCCTCGATCCTGAAGCCGAGCGTGGCGGATGAGCTGATGGTCTCGCGCCACTGCATGTAGCGTGGCTTGGTGACGGCACGTTGAGTGTGCTCCTCCGCGGTGGGCGCTCCGGGCTCCACCGCCACCATCTTCTGGTACATGTCCTTGCGCAGCCGCGGCTTCTCCCGAGCGCGTGCCAGCTCCTCCTCCAGGTAGGTCCTGCGGTGGGAGTTGGGGGGGGGGGAGGAAGGGGGGGGGGGGTGGGAGCAGGCCGATGGGGTGGAGAGGAAAGAGGGTTGAGGAAGGGCAAAGAGGTTTCTCCCCCTTGATGATGCGTCGCGTCGCCACGCGGAGTCAGTGGGTGGGTCGCTGTTCAGCGCACGCGGTGCTGAAATCGTGGCGCCCAGCTCTGTCGTGGTGAAGAGCAGGCCTGGTGATGATGATGGATGGGCTGTTGACGATGGATGGGCTGCTGATGATGGATGGAGTACTGATGAACAGCGCTAATGATGTTGTGCAAAGTATTAGCACACCATTCCACACACACACACACAAAACAAAGACTAAGATCCCCCGTATAGCCTTCGCAGGCTGTTGGGCCAAGTGCTGTTAGCAAGCACCTATTAAGACCTTGAACGGCACACACACACACACACACCTATCCGCACACGCACGCACGGACCTCACTCCCATCTTGCAGTCCATGATGCAGGGCGCGTGGAAGTCGGTGAGCAGATCCTCCATCTGCACGTAGCGCACGCCGTCATTCTCCATCTCGCCCAGGTAGGCGGGCACGAACGGGCGCAGCGCGTCGCCCATGAGCAAGCGCAGGCACCGCTGCTCCCCCTCGCAGAAGCGCTTCAGGACCACGCCCTGCTGCTCCCCCGTCTTAAAGTTCCCTGCGTCCCACCAAAGCAACATCGTCAACATCGTCATCGTCGTCGTCGTCGTCGTCGTCATTCACTGCGGCCAGGAGGAGGTAGTGGGTGTCCTGAACGTGGGGTGTCCCAGCGGCGAGATGTTAACTCCCTCGCCTGGTATGCAGGAGCTCGTGGGTTCGATCCCGACCCTGACCCCTGCTGAATGTTTGTCGTTTGCATGTACTCTTTCTCTCTCTCTCTCTCTTTCTCTCTCTCTCCGCGGTCGCGTCGATTTTTTTCTGGGTCGCCTCCGGTTTTTCCCTCCACATTTAGAACCAACGTCACGCGGTAAGGATATGTGGCTGCTGTACATTTCCACAGGATAAGCTCAGTGGGCTTTACCTGGTCAAATAACATAGTTTTAGTTCAGGTTTATTTCCGTTTTAGTTCGGTTTTAGTGGCCGCCTGCGATCCTCCAGCACTGTGCAGGCAGCAGCGAGGGAGTGGTGGATCGCCGTATAGATGTTGAAGAACTCCATTGCCGGTGGGTAGGCGTCGAGCTGCCGTACCCTGGCTCGTCCCGGGAAGGCGGTACAGCAAAGCGTGGACTAATCTCGCATCTGTTTCCATCTGTACGGGGATAGAGTGTTGCCCCCTCGCGCATGGCGTGGGTTTCCTCCCACTTTGTATACACCCATTAATATGCCGATAATACGTTGATATGTAGAGGACTGCAGAGCTCGGGGAAATTGTTGCTAGCACCGGCTAATCGCGTGGCTGCCTTCTCAGCTTGTCTGTGGTTCATCGCGCCTCTGAGTCGTCCTCTTTCTCCTAGAGTGAGCTAATACTGCATGCGCACGCTGCAAGTTGAAATGAATATATCATGGTGTTGGCCACCCTACCCTGCTCGTGTGCCATGGCCGGCCTTCATAGGTTGCTCGCTAACAGCACTTGCCCCAACAGTCCGCGAAGGCTACATGGGGGATCTTTGTCTTTGGTTCCGTGTATCTCGGAGTGATGTCACGGGTGACTGGGGAGCAACCATCATCTCGCCACGCTTGAGTCGCCGGTCTCAAGCAATTGCCAGGCTTTATGGCGTAATCCGCTATCGCTGGCTAAAGCCAACACAGTTCTTGAAGAGCTCAGTGGAACGAAACGTCGGACACAGTGCCGAACTACGCGCAGAGAACAATGCGGAGCGACTCCTCACGGTGGGCGTCTGATCGAGCTGGACAGCGTGGGGGAGGCCGTCATCCAGCAGTGGATAGACTGAAGTGTCTCACATTCACATAGTTATACGATGCCTCTGACTTGATACTGTGAGTCCCACTGGTCTACAGCCCTTACCCATCCTCTGCCCCCCGCCTCCCGTCCCCAACATCGTGTCTCTCCACAACTCCACTCTCTCTCTCTCTGTCCCTCTCTCTCTGTATCCCTCTCTCTCTCTGTGTGTCTCTCTCTCTGTGTCTCTCTCTCTCTCTGTGTCTCTCTCTCTCTGTGTCCCTCTCACCTGCGTGGCCAGACAGCTGGATCCAGGGGTAGCGCTTCTTCAGAGCCACGATGAACGGCGTGCGGTGCATGATGCTCTGGATCCTCTTCCATGCCTTGTGCTGCACAGGGGGCGGGTGGGGGGGGCACGGTGTGTGGGAGCGGTGAGAGAGTGCGGGAGGGGTGAGAGAGTGCGGGAGAGAGTGCGGGAGGGAGGAAGGGTGTCCACGGTGAGGGTGTGTCAGAGTGTTAGGGTGTGGGGTGAAGAGGGAGAGGGTGAGGAGGGTGAGGAGGGAGAGGTTGTGTTTGGGAGAGGGGTGTGCAGGGGAAGGTATGGGGAGACACATGGGGAGACACGCGTGGTTATTGGGAGACGCCAAAGACAAGCGCATGCTCCTCTCAATCATCAAACTCCATCTGGAGCTCCCGCAGTAATCAGCCCATCAATCAGCACGTGTTAGATAGAGAACGGCCTGCGGAAGGAATGCTACAGAACTGCTTCGGAAGTGTCTTCAAGTTACCTCTTATCCACGCCGCTGAGGGCGCTGCACTTGCCCGCGCGCAAATCACGTGAAGGCCCATCGTCAAAAACACCATCATGATTTTTTATTTGAAGACAAAAAAAGTGTGCTGGGCTGGCCGGAGGGGCGGACGGACGATCACGTACAAAGGACATGTGGGTTGCTAGTCACATTTGTTTTTATCCCATTAAATTCGGTTAAAAACTTAATTTGCCTAAATTCCAGCTGTGAGAATTCAATATCGCTTTCTCTGTCACATGACGGACATCACTCTCTCTGGGCGGCAAGGCGGGTGGATAGTGCGTTGCCCTCTGCTGTGTGGAACAGAGGTCCCTTGAAGGCACACGTCCTCAGCGGTAGCCCTGTAATGTCCGCTTCCGCGGGGCATTCTCCAATGCGAAGACGCACACTGCCCTGCGGGTTGATTCTCCATCTCGTGACGGCGTGACACCAACAGCGCAATCGGATGAAATCGAGGTGAAATGACAACACGTATCGTATGCAAGTATCTAAGTTTAACTTCTTTCGCACCGTACGTAGCCAACCATGCTAATCGGAGATGCGGGGGGAAGGGCAACAAATTAAACGTGAAAAGCAGTTTTCAAGTGCAGAGTTGTCAATCTGCATTCGTGCCACGTGATCGAATTACGCTTCTAAGAAGATACAAACTGAGTGGAAATGCGGGGGTGGGGGAGCGGTGGAAGTGGCCGAGCCGTAGTGAATTTTCCGCTTTTGCTGCAGTGAAGTCATGCGCCGTGCACAAAGTAATCGCTCCCTCTCGTTCCGAACTCGACAAAGAGGAGAATGACCATAATAAAAAAAGTAAAAATTGTATATTAAACTCAACAAATGAAATAAGGAGAGAGGCCTCGCGGTTGTAACCGCGCGGCCGCCCTGGCTAACCACGCAAGCCGCACACCGTCCGCCTCGCGTCGTTGGCTTCGTTCCAGCCGGCCGGAGGTGCGCTGGCGTCTCGGTTCAACATTTTTTTGGTTGCCAAGTTCGAAAAAAAAAAACATTTGCAAATTGCCACACGGCAATATCCCCCCCCCAACCCCCCCAATCCCCCCTACCCACCCCACCCCGAGGCCGCTCTGCGCCGTGCTGCGCAGGGCCCGCGAGAGCGGCTCACAGGGCCCACGCGCGACCGACGATTCGGTATTGGTCGTCCCCCTGGGCCTCGACGGCCACGGGCAGCCCTCACGATTGGGCGCTGCCACGGTGGAGTTGTGCTCTCCGTGTCCGATACACGAAGGCGGCATCTGTGTGAGTGTGTAGAGGTGCGTGTGTGTGTACCGGCCTGTGTGCGTGTGTGTGTGTGGGGAGTAGTAGTGTAGTGGTTAGCGCGCCGCGCTATAAACCCGGCGACCCGGGTTCGATTCCTGCTCACGGCCAACACCGGTGACGATTATCTGAACCGGTCCCGGGCCTCCCCTAGGTCGACTCAACCTCAAATGAGTACCTGGTGCGGTGTGTAAACATCGCCACTGGGGAGACAAAGGCGATCGGGCGTGGTGCTGGCCACCCACCCCCTCGTGTAACTTTCCGGCCTTCATAGGTGCTCGCTAACAGCACTTGCCCCAACAGTATGTTAAAGGCTACACGGTGGGATCTTTGTCTTTGTGTGTACCCTGTGACTCACTACAGGCAAATTTACCACGGACAGCTCTCAGCGATTTGAATATGAATTTAAAAAAACAATCCTCGCCTCTGACTTTCTCAACTCAGCCCTAGCCCGTGGCTAGGAGTGGCGGTTCCTGGCTCCAGGTGGAGGAGTTGACAAACCCCCACTGGGCGTCACAGTCTCAGGGGGAATGACGCAAGGTGGTGGGGCTCGTTGACGAAATTCAACGCCCTACCAGTGGCTCCTCGCGTCGAGCCCCCCCGTAGACTTACACAGAGACACATAGACTTACACAGAGACTCATAGACTGACGCAGAGACCCGTAGACTTACACAGAGTCCTATAAACTCACACAGAGAGCCATAGACTGACACTGTGAGTCTATGGGCCTCTATGTAAATCTCTGGATCTTTGTGTGAGTCTACAGGTCTCTGCGTCAGTCTATCGGTCTCCGAGCCATAGACTGATGCAGAGACCCGAAGACTCACACAGAGATTTACATAGAGACCCACGGACTGGCATGGACCCATAAATTCACGTCGAGACGCTTAGACGTACATAACGACCTACAAACTCAAACTCACGTAGAGATCCATAGACTGGCATAAGAGAGCCCTGCACTGGTGCATCATCTTCCAATTGTCAATTAACCACGGCACCACCACCACGCCTCACTTGATTACGTACACACAACAGCCGTCATTCACCCACGAAGTGATGGTGTGGTCATCACGGCGCTTGTGCCAGGCTAGGTGCACGAAGCACGCGCTCACGGAGAGACGCACACTCACGTGCGCCGTGATGTCCGGTGATATACTTGTAAAGTTTCATCATCATCATCATCCATGATCAATCCACTCCTGGATGAACGCCTCCCCACCACCATCATCATCAGTACAATCCAGCGCCAGCTCTCTCGCGACCCCGCGATTGTTCAATCCACCGGCTGCTGCTGCACGCGAGCCGATCTCATCACTCCATCTCCGCGGTGGAGGTGCTCCTCCTCTTTGTTGGACGCGTTACATCCCGCGGTTATTAAAATGCGATCGCGATGTCATCCGCCCCGCCTGAGCTCACGGCCACGCTTCCTCCTTTGTCTCCCTTATTCATGCACGCGGCACTTGAGCGTCAACGGGTTTCACGTTTTCCTTTTTTTTTTCAATATATCTTTCAAGACTTGTCATCGCACCTTGATTAGAAAATGGCCAAATGCACCCGACCGAATGACCGCCGCCTACCCCCATCAGACCGCGCAAGCTAAGCAGGCTTGAGCCTGGATCGTGGCCTCCCCTCCCCATCCCCTACACTTTCAACCCGCACGAAGCAGCGAGGTAAAGTATGGTCGTATACCCGTCACTGCCCGCATGGCTACGCACGGCTATGGGGGAGGGGCGGTGGGAGGCCCTCATCCAGCAGTGGATTGCCACACACGTGTCTCGGGGTTTTGACAGCGCCGCCTGAACCCTAAACAATGGCGAGTCAGTGCGGGCACCGTTGTGTGCGATATGTTGAACTTCTTTCACGCCGTACTTAGCCAACCGTGCTCATCCCATGCCAATTTTGTTTTTTTTTAACCCAAGACCGGGGTTGGGGCGTGGGACAGGAAGGAAGACGGGAATCGTTTTTGCTTTTCTGAGCCCGAGCTTTCTCCCTCGGGCTTCAACGAAGGCAGACGACCGCCGGCCCTGTTGTTTACGCCACATCAGTTCCCGGATTCTCCCAGTAGCACAAGTAGCTACACATGTAGCTACGGGCCACGCACTTTCAAGGGCCCCTCGCTAAATGCTTTCAAGCTATCAATTCCGGTTCAGTGATTCTGCACTTGCTCTATTACTACAGTACTATACCGCCTTCAACTTTTACGAACGACTGAGTGTTTAAGGTTAGCGATTTGTCGTATTATCCGGCTGTATAGCGAGTGAAAAAACAAACAATTACTTTACTACGCAAGTAAAAAAAAAATGCGTTTTGATATTTAGGCATTTTATGTTTAACGTATAATAACAACATATGCTGGAGGCCCCCGCACTAGCTTGACCCGGCACTGCGCCAGAGGGACGACGCGTCGTGCACGTGACGCAGCGCCAGCGCGAGTGCCGCACAGACACACGCCGGCACATCGATCGTCTCCGGCCGTGAAGTCAGCGAGGGCGTGCCGGGGAGGAGGAGGAGGAGGAGACTGCAGACGTGGCTCTGTGGCTACGCGGGCTGCCCGACGTCCACTCAACAGTGTAACATCGGCACGCATTGTTCGTCTTGTGTGTCTGCTCTGCTCTGGCCGTGCAAAAGTCACGCGTAAAAGGAAGGAAGGGTTCGCGGTGTCAACCCGCCGCGCGACCTGCACGCGCTATCGCCATTCGCAAGGCGCGCAGCCTTTTTCTTGGGGACATTTTGACGTTGGATTGAGAAAGCTCCCAGCCAGCGCGTGGAGATGAAACGTCGGACATCGTGCCATCGTGGGGGGGGAGGGGGGGGGGTGGGCGCTGTGGTCAGAATCAGAAGTTTATTATACGAGTAAGTAACCCATTGAGCTACGCGGCTTTAAAGATTAAAGCATTAAAGATATAAAGTAAACAAAATTCAATGATCATACGAAACAATGACCTACATTCGCATTTGAATTGCTCTTAAATACGCCGAGTGGTTTGGGGGAGTGGGGGGGTGCTAATTCAATGATGAAATCACTGAGCTGCGTTTAAGTAAAGAGCGTGGAAGAGTTTTGAATGCGTTCCAGGAGCTCAGCTGCCAACACTCTCGCTCTGCTCTGAAGAAGAAGGTCCATCGCCCGAAACGTCCACACAGTTTCTGAATAAAAGGGCACAACGCTTCGTGATGAATGAGATCGTTTGTCCCAACGGTTTCTAAGTTTGGATGAAGAGTGAAGTCATGCGCCATGCACAAAAGAATCGCTCCGTCTCGTTACCGAACTCGACAAAGAGGAGAATGATCGTTAAAAAAATAACAATTATATATTAAA